CCCCCCCCCCCTCTCTCTATTTTCGGCCTACACCCAAGAATCCATCCCCTTCTGATTCTCTCCTCTCCTCCCTAACCACAATCACATTGAACTTCCCCCCCTCTGATTCCATACGTTCCAGCCCCAAAACACCCACAAAAACAGCCTTACCCTCTCATCCTTTTCCCCTTGAAGTTGAGCCTAACATTTGGTATCAGAGCTTTGTGTTGCCCATCCCTCAAGGACCATTCACATATCTCTGAAAGTAAGTTGTTCAAGCTCAAACTCTCCCCTTTGTCACTCTCCAAACCCTCTGCCAGAACCTACACTATCTCCCACCCTCTCTCCACTTCAACCATGTCAAATGAATCCCAAAGCTTGTCCCATGAAGAGCTCATTGCCTCCAATGCAGCCTTGAAAGCCCAAGTAGAGTACTTGGCTAAAGAGGTAGCCAAACTCACAAAGATGAAACTCAACGAGCTACAAGGCAGTGACCGTGAAGAAGACGTTAGTTCTAGTGGAACCATGAAGCCTAAAGCCAATGAAGGTTCTGACTTCAAAGTTGACATTCCAACTTTTGAAGGGAAGAACGACCCGGACGAGTTCCTCGAGTGGTTAGAAACGGTGGAACGCGTCTTTGACTTCAAAGATGTTTCTGACGAAAAGAAGGTCAAGATAGTGGCCTTAAAGTTCCGGAAGTATGCATCAACTTGGTGGACTAATACGTGCACCAAGAGAAGAAGGAACGACAAAGAACCGGTGTCCACATGGGCAAAGATGAAGTCCCTTCTAAAGAAGAAGTTTTTACCCGCTGAATATGTCCGTGAGAATTTTGCTAAGCTTCAAACGCTTAGGCAAGGTTCTAAGTCCGTTGAAGAATACAACCGGGAGTTTGAAGAGCTCTTGTTGAGATGTGACTTACAAGAAGATGACGAACAAACCTTTGTTTGTTACCTATTTGGCTTAAACCTACAAATAGCCCACACGGTGGAGTTGCAAAGTTACGACTCTCTCGAAGAACTCACGAAGTTAGCCCTCAAAGTTGAAGCTCAACATAAGAAATCCAAAGCCTTTTTCTCCAAAAAATAACAACCCCTCCCCACGTCCCTACTCCTCCACATCCAAGCCACCTTACCCTTCGTCCAAATTACCTTACACTAACCCCAAAAACCCCACTACTGCCCACGACCAAAACCCCTCCTCCTCCTCCCCATCTACATCCAGAAACCCATCCTCCTCTTTCACACCCCGGGCTGATCCCACAAAGAAAGCACCTGTTTGCTTTCGGTGCCAAGGACGAGGTCATTATGCCAATGAATGTCCTAACAAGAAGGTAATGGCCATTGTCGAATGTGATGAAGAAGACTTTGACCCCACTTGGGTTGAAGAAGAAGCGAAAGAAGTGGAAGAACAAGACGAGTACGTAGGTCCCGATGATGGAGAACTCTTGGTCATCCGAAGGACGTTGAGCACTCTAGCAGGCCCCGAGGAACAACTACAACGGGAAAACATATTCCACACCCGTTGCACTGTCCAAAAGAAGGTGTGTTCCCTCATCATCGATAGTGGGAGTTGCACCAACGTGGCTTCCAAAACCATGATAGACAAGCTGCATTTGAAGACGTCACCACATCCGAAACCCTATACGATTCAATGGTTGAATCATGGTAAGGGTCTACGTGTTGATACACAAAGTCTTATTTCCTTGAGCATTGGCAGCTCGTACAAAGACGATGTGTGGTGTGATATCATTCCGATGGACGCTTGCCACATCCTCCTGGGACGGCCCTGGCTGTTTGATCACCGTGTGCAACACGATGGTTATACCAATACTTATTCATTTTTGATGAATAAGAAGAAGATCACCCTTACCCCTTTACCTCCTCCTACACCCACGGCCAAACCAACCAAAGAACAACCTCCCGTTCTTATCTCCACTATCCTTCAAGCGGAACAACATGAATTCAGTGGGATTAAAGATTTGATCCTATTAGAAGATGGAGAAGCCGAACCATCAAACTGCCCAAAACAGCCTCATCCCTTAGCCGAGCCTATCATCCTAAAATATGCCCATGTTTTCCCTAATGATGTCCCACACGGTCTCCCTCCTAAACGAGACATCCAACACAAAATTGATCTCATTCCAGGGGCTGCCCTACCCAACAAACCAGCATACCGAATGAACCCCGAAGAAACAAAGGAGATTCAACGACAAGTTGATGAGTTGTTAGCCAAGGGCTTCGTGAGAGAAAGCCTTAGCCCGTGTGCTGTTCCGGCACTTTTGGTACCCAAGAAGAATGGAACGTGGCGTATGTGTTGTGATAGTCGGTCTCTCAACAAGATCACTATCAAGTACCGATATCCAATTCCCCGTTTGGAAGACATGTTGGACGAGCTGCATGGCTCCAAGATCTTTTCAAAAATTGATCTTAGGAGTGGATATCATCAAATTAGAATCTTTGAAGGAGACGAGTGGAAGACAGCGTTCAAGACGAAGTTTGGGTTATACGAATGGTTGGTCATGCCATTTGGATTAACCAATGCCCCGAGTACGTTCATGCGGCTTATGAATCAAGTCTTGAAGCCGTTTATAGGAAATTTTGTCGTTGTCTACTTTGACGACATTCTGATTTATAGCAAAAGTGAGGAAGAACATGCTCATCACCTCACTTTGGTGATTAAGAAGTTGGACGAGGAGAAACTCTACAGCAACCTTGAGAAGAGCCACTTCTTTGCATATGAAACAGAGTTCTTGGGATATTTTATCTCAAGTGAGGGCATACGGGTTGACGAAAAGAAGACGCAAGCCATTAGAGAATGGCCGACCCCCACCACTATGCAACAAGTTCGGAGTTTTCATGGCCTTGCCTCTTTCTACCGGAGATTTGTGAAGGATTTCAGCACCATCACAGCACCTATCACGGACTTGACGAAAAATCAGAAGTTCGAGTGGAACCCCAAGGCCCAACAGGCCTTTGAAACAATCAAGGAGCGATTAACACATGCTCCCGTGTTAGCCCTTCCCAGTTTTGACAAACTATTCGAGGTTGAGTGTGATGCCTCGGGAGTTGGAATCGGGGATGTCCTATCTCAAGAAGGACACCCGGTGTCGTATTTTAGCGAGAAGCTAAACGACACAAGAAGGAGGTATTCCACTTACGACAAGGAGTTCTATGCACTGGTGCGGTCACTCGAACATTGGCGTCATTACCTCGTGAGCAAGGAGTTCATATTACATTCCGATCATGAAGCGTTGAAGTACATTCAAGGGCAGCATAAGCTCCGGCCCCGTCATGCTAAATGGGTCGAATACATCCAAACCTTCACCTTCACCATCAAGCACAAAAACGGAACCATGAACAAAGGAGCCGATGCCTTGTCCCGGAGGCATTTATTACTAACGGTACTTAGTACCAGACTTGTTGGTTTTGAATTTTTGCAGGAACTGTACAAGGAAGATGAAGACTTCAAAGACACTTATTCTAAGTGCCTCATTCGGCCCTATGGAGATTTTCTTGTCAAAGACGGTTATCTCTTCCGTGGTAACCAACTGTGCGTCCCGAAATGCAGTATGCGCGAAACCCTCATTGAAGAAGTCCACGGAGGAGGCCTAGCTGGTCATTATGGAATCGACAAGACTCACGTGATGATGAAGGAGCATTACCATTGGCCAAAGATGGAACGAGACGTCGAGCATTTTATCAAGCGTTGCAACACATGCCACCTAGCAAAGAGTCACTCACTGCCCCAAGGAAAGCACATGCCACTGCCCGTTCCTTGCGCACCATGGGAAGATATTAGCTTGGATTTCATCACCGGGCTACCAAGGACACATCGGGGCAAAGATTCGATCATGGTTGTAGTGGACCGTTTCTCAAAGATGGCCCATTTCGTACCATGTGTTACCACCAATGATGCTTCACAAGTTGCAGATATCTACTTTTGAGAGATAGTCAAACTCCATGGCGTTCCTCAAAGCATGGTATCGGACAGAGATACCAAATTCCTTAGTCATTTCTGGATGACTCTTTGGAGAAAATTGGGTACTAAACTGAAGTTTAGTACGTCAAGCCACCCACAAACTGATGGCCAAACCGAGGTCACCAACCGCACCCTTGGAACACTCTTACGAGTCCTCATCAAGAAGAACATCAAGCAATGGGAGGAGCTTCTTCCGCACGCCGAGTTTGCCTACAACCGAACCCCAAACAAGACTACCGGGCTATCCCCATTCACGGTGGTCTATGGTTCGAACCCCTTGACCCCACTTGAACTTGATCCAATCATCACGGAAACCAAGTACAGTTGGGAAGCAGACAAGCGGTCAAAGGAAATCCAAGACCTTCACGCCAGGGTTCGAGAGAAGATTGAGGCTATGAACGAGAAGGTAAGCGCACGCATCAACAGAGGAAGGAAGAACGTCCACTTCCAACCAGGAGACCTTGTTTGGATTCACCTTCGGAAAGAGCGTTTCCCCACAAAACGCAAGTCAAAGTTGCTGCCAAGAGCCGATGGTCCGTTTGAAGTCATAGAGAAAATCAACGACAATGCCTACAAAGTTAACCTTCCGGGAGATTATGGAGTATCGGCTACTTTCAATATCAAGGACATCAGTCCGTACTTCGAGCCTGAGGAACTGCCGAGTTTGAGGACAAACTCTTCTGAAGAAGGGGAGGATGATATACCCCCGACCACCAACAATGATCCTCGAGTCCTTAAACAAATCTGTGGAATAATGTCCAAGTGTTTTAATCCTTTTTGGAATGAATACATCACCCATAAACCATACAACCCGACCCTGGTCCTGCTGGACCTTCCCCCACCTTGATGGCCGAATTTACCACCCAAAACCACCCCTCCCAAATATCCAAATCAAACCCAAGTCCCTTCCTTTTTTTACCCTGGCCGAACCCACACACCCCCACAACACCTCATCACACTTTAAACCACATGCTAACTCCACAAACCTTTTTTTTCCCTCGAATGGCCGATAACTAAGAGCCAAAACCCAACCCATTATTTCTCTAGTGTGTACTAGCAGTGGTCCCCTTGTGTTCCCCAATCAAGCTGAATAAAAGGCCAGGAATAATTCAGCATGTACTGGCTCATAATTTATCAAGAAAACCCAACTCATGAGAAGCCAAAACCTGCCATATTCCCCTTTCTTGTTCCCCACCTGGACCGTGCATAATCCCCACCAAAACCCACCATAAAAGAATCCCCATTTCCAACAAATGAGTGAGTCTCATTTTCCAACCCTTCACCAGGCCGAAACATCCTTCCCCACAACCTCACCCTTCTTCCTTGTTTTCATTCCATTAAAATAAGTGGACATTATTCCCCAAATAAGTGAATGTACTAGGAAGCTTCCCCCCTCCCCCTGATGTGCTTATATATTTCGGCCTTAGGCCTTTGTATCAGGCAGATTGTAATTTCACATTTTCACTAGTAATACACTTGTGTGTGTTCTATTTTAAATTCCTATTTCTATATCTTAAGAGTGGTTCTCTTAGGTGTGAGTTATAGGTTCTAGTTATTTGAATAAGTGTGTAATATCTTATTTAAATACTAGACTCAACCCCAAGTAAAAGATAAGAGTGTGTAATATCTCTTAACACCTACTTGGTTTATTCCCCCTCTAGAAAAAAACAACTAAAATAAATACTTCTCCCCCCCCCTCTCTCTATTTTCGGCCTACACCCAAGAATTCATCCCCTTCTGATTCTCTCCTCTCCTCCCTAACCACAATCACATTGAACTTCCCCCCCTCTGATTCCATACGTTCCAGCCCCAAAACACCCACAAAAACAGCCTTACCCTCTCATCCTTTTCCCCTTGAAGTTGAGCCTAACACCTTCTTTAGTNACTTCTCCCCCCCCCTCTCTCTATTTTCGGCCTACACCCAAGAATTCATCCCCTTCTGATTCTCTCCTCTCCTCCCTAACCACAATCACATTGAACTTCCCCCCCTCTGATTCCATACGTTCCAGCCCCAAAACACCCACAAAAACAGCCTTACCCTCTCATCCTTTTCCCCTTGAAGTTGAGCCTAACACCTTCTTTAGTTTGAACCACTTCCTTGGCCTGTTCGTACATAACACCAAAGTCTTGCCTAGATGCAGTAGACATGTGCTTCTGAAGTTTCGGGCGCATGCCCTTCACGAACCTATCGCAACGACATTTGGTGGTGTTCACCAAGTCCTGGCCGATCTCAGCAAGATGGTCGAACATCTGACGATACTCGGGAAGACTCATCGTACCCATCTCGAGTTGTAGAAACTCTTCTCGTTTCTCTTCCACAAACGACTCTGGGATATATTCCTCTCTGAACACTTGATCAAAGTACGCCCACGTCACTTGCGCTGGATGATTCGCATTTCGAGTAGTGCGCTTCCACCACTCGTACGCATTACTCTGTAAAAGCATGACCGCAAAATCAGCCCACTCGCTAGCTGGAACCTTCAAATTCTCGAATACCCGTTGTATGCGCTCTATCCATCTAAACGCAATCAATGGGTCGGTGATGTTCTCGCCTAGGAATTCTTCAGCGCCGTTTTTCTTCAGTTTCTCGAGCGTGATCCTCGGTTCCGGTAGTCGAACGTGCGCTAAGGCATTCTGATTCATGATCAGAACTTGCTGTAGGAGCTGCATCATCATTGCATGGTCGATCTGTGGGACCCCAACAGGCCCACCATTCGGCGCCTCTTGGTGTGGGACGTTCTGGTTCATGTTCATATTCTGGTGGTCGTTCTGTTGCATGCTCCCATCCTCAGAGTGATGATCGTTGTCATAGTTAACGATAAGATTCATTCTGCAGTTTTACAATTTAACTACTTAAGTAACAAATATATTTTTTTTGTCAAAATACTTTTATATTCCGTTTGTTCTGCTAATTCAAACATTATACATCCACGACTCTTATTAAAACAAAAATAACATTCAACATTCTGGTAATTTAAAAAAAACAATAAATCGTTTAATCAGAGTAAATAACTGAAACGTTGCGGAAGCCTTTAAAAAAACAACATTCAACATTCTGGTAATTTAAATAAACAAATCCAACAAACTTATTTAGTTTAAATAAAACAGCTTCGGTCATCCACCAGCGTCACGCTTCACTGTCCTCCAGGCTGCTCCTCATCAAATCCTTGATTCCTACCTGTAAAAATAGGGAGAGTGGAAGTATCTAACACTAAAACTAACTCATAGACTAGCACCCACTAATATATAATCAAACAATATCAGAAGAATTAGCAAATATCGTTATCCAACAGTACCACTAATTACCCTTTTAATTTAGTTTAGTTCTTATGCATACTTATTCCATCTGTCTGCTAATATAATTCAATTCATACTTACAGGAGTGTGGAATCCAGGCTCTCACCCAAACCCACACTCATAACTCCAAAGCTCTCGCAATGGAGGGGGTTGAGGCCCCCGCTGGATCTCGCCAGGGGTCAATGACCACCGTGCGCACGTTTTTAACCATCGAGACCACCGGATGAACGACGTCACCCGCGTGACCTTATTCTCTTGTTTAGTCCAATTTGTGATTCCCAATATCTAATTCAACCCAAATCCACCTAATATTATTAAGAGGTCAGTTTCATAATTTCCTACATAACTTATAAGTAGCCACCAATTCATTAGTTAGCACCTTTGGTTTAATTTGTAGTAATTGCCTACCTTTATGCTCAAATTATAAGAAATGACAGAATTGCAACTGTTAACAATTCTAGGGGTCAAATTATAATTTATTAAAACTTAATCTTTGAGTTCTCATTGGCTTTCTTCTTCGACGCAACACCTTCTGTGATGCACGAGTACAGCAGCGGCATTATCTGCGGTGAATTCCGTTTTAGCAGAGAGGAAAGACGAGCAGCGGCTTGACGGAAATCTCCAAGTCCCGGCGAACAGTCGCTTCAAGTTCCAACGACAACACCAGTGACCAAACAGCCCCCCCGGTGGTGGGAACCTCTCTGCCGGTGTTCCGAGTTCCGGCGGCCAACAGAGGAGCAGGGCAGGAAACAGAATAGAACAGAAAAAGAAAGAACATAACAGAGACCGAACGGAAAAACGAGAGGAGGAACAATCCAATCCCAATTTCCC